ACCCCCGCCTCTGCTGCCAGCACGCCCACCCCAGAAGTGGCTGCATTCGTTAGTCTGCTGCGTGGAGGCTGCTGAGACACAGATGTAGGCAACAGGCCTGGGAGGTGTCACAGGACGTGACACCACATTCATCCATGTGTGTCCTTTCATAGCTGCACTGTATGTGCACGTTGTGTTGTGTTATCATAGGGTGCGTTACAACATGTCTTTTCATACCTGCACTGCTTATATTATATTATATTGTATTATATTATATTAATGTGTGAAGTGTAGGTATGAAAATATCAATATTCTATTCCAGTGGTTTTCAACCTTTTTTTTTTCATTTGCAGACGTCTAAAAAATTCCAAATGGAGGTGCAGCCCCCTTTGAATGGTAAGTGTAGGTATTCACATACTTTCCATTGATCACAGTCATCTTTCACAGACCCCTTAGACATAGTCTGCCGACCCCCAGGGGTTCATGGGCCACAGGTTGAAAACCACTGGTCTATTCTATTCTATTCTATTCTATCCTATTCTAATGTAGGTGTGAAAATAAACACACACAAAACATGCACATGCATAATAATGAAGTCTAGCTATGTTATTTGTTAACATGCAACATCTGATCTGGTGGCTTACAGTACACTGGTTCTACCTATTGATCTTCAATACAATAATATTATATTTTATTGAATTATATTTTATTATTTTATGTTACATTGAAGTGTGCATTTTCATACCTGCATTACATACGGTATGTTGTTATGTTAATGTGTGCAGTGTAGCTATGAAAATACACACAATAATATGTGCACACCTACACTGCACACAAGAATAGAATAGAATAGAATAGAATAGAATAGAATAGAATAGACACACACAAAACACACGCACATACATGATAATGAAGTGTAGCTATATTATTCGTTATCATGCAGTGTCTGATCTGGTCACTTATAGTGCACTGTTTCTAGCCATTGACCTTCAATACAATAATATACTGTATTATACTATATTATTTTATATGACATTACATTGTGTATTTTCATATCTGCACCACATGATTGTGTTATAAGAATGTGTGCAGTGTAGGTATGAAAATACACACAATGATATTCGATTCTATTCTATTGACGTGTGCAGTGTAGGTATGAAAATACCCACAATAATATCCTATCCTATCCTATCCTATTGATGTGTGCCGTGTAGGTATAAAAACACACACACCAAACACATGCACACACCATGATAAAGTCTAGTTACATTATTTGTTATCGTACAAGGTCTGATCTGGTTGCTTATAGTGCATATTTCTATCTACTGCCTGTCTACCCTGGCTGCTCAGGAGCCCAGGGTCCCAAAGCATCAGCTGAGCAGTGGCGGGCCGCAGGCAGAGCTGATCACAAGCTGGGGTCCCTGCAACCCAGTGTGCTGCCCTGCAAGCCTTGTACTTGTTCCTGGCCTACCCTTTGGCACTCAGCCTCCCTGGCTGCCTTCGTGGAAGGTAGAGCTGGGAGTTTGCACCCGGTCCCTAACTCTGACATCATCATTTGTTAGGAAAAGAGGGCGGGTTGCAGAGGGGGTTTTTGTTGGTAAAGAAAAGATTTGAATCAGAGCTCAAGACCCATTAAAGGGAGAAACCATCAACCCAGGCCAGGCGGGCAGAGAAGGGGTGGGGAAGAGGAGGGGAAAGAAATGAATCAATAATTTAAAAAAAAGAGAGAAAGAAAGAAAGAAAGAACCCAACAGCAACCCAAGAATTTAAACCAGGCTCAGCCTCTTCAAGGAAAGTTAATCAATAAACTAATTAACTGCTTTGCAAGCGCTCTAATTAATAGATCAAAAGTATTAGTGCCAGGGATCTGGGACTGCAAACAGCTCAGCCTACCCTCCCACAACAAAGGAGCCTGCGAACTCTTTGCATTTGGGATTTATTTCTCATCCGGCTTCTCATTTTATTTTATTTTTTTCTCTCCCCGGTTCTCTATCGTCGTGTCTATTTTTTTGTGCCCCCGAAAATTATTGATCTATATTCTGGATTGTGTGTGTGTGTTTTGTTTTCAGGACGGCCGCAAAGCAGGGAACGAAAGGATTTGCCCAATCGTGATCATCGTGCCGATAAAAAAAATTGGGGGAAATCATTCTCTCGGCTGGGGGAAAAAAAGAAAAAAGGCTTGGAGCAAAGCCGGCCACCCCTTTCCTTTGTTTGTTTCACCACTGGAAAGTCTCGGGCTGGAGTTACGCTTTGGATCCTACCTTCCCCTCTCCGTCGCGGCACAATACGGGATTTGAGGCTTTCCCCAAATTCTTGGACCAATGAAGGAACCCGATGCCATTAAACTTTTCATCGGACAGATCCCCCGTAACCTGGAAGAGAAGGACCTCAAGCCCATTTTCGAGCAATTTGGGAAAATCTATGAGCTGACAGTGATTAAGGATAAATACACGGGCATGCACAAAGGTAAGCGAGCCAGGCCGCTGGCAGAACAATGAACGGCTCCCAACAATAGGATGGATGGGAGGTTGGGAAGGGAAAGGCGGTGGCGGTGGGGGGATCTGAATACGAAATCGCAAAGCAAGAGCAGCCGGGCGGTGGGGGAAACGGGGGTCCCAGAGATGTCGGGTGAGATGAAGTCGTCCCTGGAAGGGACTGGGAAATGGCCAGGCATCTTGAGATGTCAGGGCAGCCAGTGGGACAAAGAGCGGCTGCTGGCGGCGGTGACAGATGGCAGTAGGTACAATACGGTGAAAGGCGTCGGGAGCCGCGGCTGTGGGGATGGCACAGACCAGGGAGGGCTGGGGGTGGGGAGCAGGGGATGGATCCAGCACCAGGGAACTTCAACAGAGTTTTGTCCTGGCTCAGGCCCAGCATCTGTCTGTCTGTGGCCCCCTTTCTGTCTGCCCTAAGTCCCCTTCGTCCCTCCCAGCAGTCTTGTTTGTCCTACTCCCGGGAGATCGTTCCTCCCTGGGGTAACCAAGTGAGCAGTGGGACTCGTGGATCTGGAGCCCACCGAGACAGCTTCCTTGTGCCTTCCTTCCTCCTGTATAAACACAGCACCTTCCCCTCCTATCCACCCATTTCACTGCCTCCTGGGCTGTGGGATCCAGGCTTTTCTCCAGCCCAAGGCCTCTTGGACACGGCCAAGTTCATCTCCTCATTCGTTTCTCTTAATGCCCCCGCTCCTCCCAAAACTTCCCCCTCGTCTGGAGGCCGGCAGCCAGATGCCCCCAGAAAGCAGAGCCTGGAGGCGGGCAAGGGATGTGGTGATCACCCTTCAGAAAAGGATGGGTCCCAGCCCTGAGAGCAGGTCTAGGAGACCTCAGGGGCAGGACAGGGTGAGATCAGTCCCACCGCAGCAGCCTCCACAATTTGGTAGCCTCATGCTTTGACTAGGAAGCCATGAGCCCATCTCTAGCGGGGTCCAGATCTCCTGGAAAGGGCTGGGGGATCAGCCTGATGATGCTGCCTTTCTAGGGAGGGGGCTGTTTCAGACCCACCGTTCTTTTGTGGGTACCAAGAGCCAAGACCATGGCATCGGGAAGGGCGACAGGCCTTTTCCAGAGGCTGTTCTCGCCTCCTGGAAGCCCGGCCTAGTGCAAGAGTGAAGTGATGCCTTTTGGCCGACAGCTGAGTAAGGGCCCAGTGATGGATGGGGCATCTCCAGAGCAGAGGCCCAGACCCGACCAGCTGAGGCTCTCGGCCTCGCCGAGATTTTTCTGTCTGGCCTGTATGGGAAACCTCCCACGTAACCACCCCCATCGGCCTTCAAAGCCTTCGTCTTGCTTTTTGGGCTTCGCACTTGAGGCAGAGGGAGCCTGAGCGGGCTGGACTCTGCCTGGGTGGGTATCCGGGGAGCCAGGCAAGCGCCCATCGGGCTCTGGGCTGTGCCAGCATTGAGGGAAGCAAAATGGAGCGCGCCAGGGCCTGGAGGCAGCCCTGAGCCGATTGCCCGTGGCTCTGCCAGGCAGAGCAGAAGAGAGGGGGGTCCAGGCCTTGGCCCCCAGCCTCCATGGGGGATGAGAGGCCAATGCGCCTGTCCTTGTAGCCCAGGGGCTGAAGGACTCTTTCCTTGTCCTCCATTTCCACTTCCCCTTTCCTTTCTTCTTCCACCGCAGGCCAGCAAGAGGCCTCATCTCCCCCCTGCGGCAGCGCCCTAGAGCAGTCTCCAGCCCCGGGGAGGGGGGCCTGGTGGAAGTCACACCTGCTCGTTAACAATTGCAGGCTCCAGTCCTCCGTTGTCCCCGGGGAGGCCAGAAGATCTGCTGTGATTGTCATTGCGTGCCAGGGCCGATGGAAAGGGGCAGGGGGAGGAGAGGAACAGGGTTGTCCTAGAAGCCGCAGCTGTGGGCTCTTGGTGTAGAGACCAGGGTGAGAGCCTGGCTCCGGCATCCCGGCCCCCTCCAGGCCAAGTGCTGGGTCCAGAAGGGGCTGGGAACGGGCTCTTTCACTTCAGGAGGGGGAAATATCAGCCTCCAGGCCCCGGGACCCAGCTCCCGAGGCACCGGAGGGTCCCATCGGCGCTCAGCTCCCCACTTCGGATGGGAAAAGGCCAGGCCCGGGCTCCTGGCTGCAGCTCACACCCGCCCTGCTCCACAGGCGTACAAGGGCCTGATCCTGTGGCAGGCCCCCATGGCCAGGCAAGTGGGTCCTGGGTCCTCCCCTGTGCTGCCCTTCCCTGGCTGTATCCCCTGAGCCTGTGTGCCCAGTGCTAGCGCGGTGCTTAGCCCATGGTTTCACCAGGCCCAGTCCTGCTGTAGGATAAGAGTCTACTATTGCTGATAGCTGAGGGGGGGATGGTCCTTTTGCTTAACCAATGCAGGAGGCCTCTGGGGCTCAGCCCTGGCCTGTTCATGCCCAAATCTTGGGGGGAAGAAGGGGACAGGGTGGGGGTGAGGATAGCAATAGACTGGGGGCACTGGCCTGGGGCTGGGATGTAGGCCGGGGAGGGGGGCTCCTCTGAGTGCCACGGGTATGTACACGCCCATCTCTGCGCCCCTCCGTGGAGATGGCATGGGGATTGTCCTGATGGCTGGGGGAACCAGGGGCAGCTGCAGGAGGGACCCAGCCCTTGAGGGTGGGAGGTGATATCTTGGCAGTGCCCCTATACCCTTGCTGCAGGCCCCCCAGGCCCAGTGGGTGCCAGGTTGGCTGAGATCGGGCCACTGCCTGCCCAGGCACAGGGCACCTCCGGGAGGGAGCAGAGCTGCTGTTCCAGCTGGCTGCGCCCTACGGCGCGCACCCGGCAAGGAGCTAAATTTAGTCTCCAGCGAGGGAGGAGAAGCCTCCTGGATGCTGGACGGCTCCAGGCTCCTGGCTGGCAGCAGCTGCTTCTCCCCCCACTGAGCTGGAGGGGAGCGAGGCTCGAAGAGGGTGGGGAGTGTTGCACAGTGGTTAAAGCAGGGGGGAGGAGAGGCAATCCAGATGCCTGGCTCCCCTCCTCTGAGTCTTGTGCCCAGCTCTGCTTTGGCGGCCTGGGCCAAGCCACTCCTCCTCTGTGCCTCAGTTTCCCCGCGCACCCAAGGCTGACGAGGCACCAGTTCAGGCAGAGTGAGGTCCCTCCAGAGAACGGGGCGGCTGCCTCTTGACCCCATGCTGCTGGCGGGGCACCTTGGCTGGCCCAGGCCCAGCCATCAGCAGTCGCTGTCTGGGCATGGACTAGGCATCCTTCCCCCCCGCCTCCCACCGGCCTGCGGGGGCAGCTGGTTGCTGAGCCCAGGGGGCAAAGCTCTGCTGAGAGGCAGGGGGAGAGGCAGAGCCTTGAGGCAGCTCCACGGGGCACCTGCCCACGACCCCTACCCAGGAGGGGGCACAAGCTGGGGGAGCAGGACCCACAGGGGCACGTCCTGAGCTGACAGCTCCTCTGTCTGTCCTGCTGCCCCCCATGGAGGAGAGAGGACCCGATCCCCCCAGCCCAAGCCAGGTCTGCCCCAGCCGGGGTCCGGCTTTGTTGGCGAGCCAGGCTGCTCCACAACCGCGCCTCCCTCCTGCCGCTGGGTATTTTTAGCTCCAATTTTTTTATTGCCAGTAGAAAGCATGACGTGGAGGGAGCCCAGGGGAAGGAAGCACGGCAGGGGGGGAGGCACTGAGGACTGACAGGGAGTGAGGGTGCATGTGCGGGGTGGGAGTGTACCCAGGGGGGCGGGGGATTGAGGTCAAGGCCTGGGTCATTCCTGGTGAGCATCGCAGCAGGGCTGAGTGACTGGGGGCTGTAGAAGCCAAAAGGCCACCCCTGCCCCTGACAGTCTCAGCCAAGCCCCCCCCCACCAGGCACAGGATCTAAACCAGAGAGCAAAGACCCATGCAGCTGCTTGGGGCATGGGGCTTGGGGTGCCCTGCCCGGTGCCAGGGGCTGGCAGGTGCATGTGTGTATTCAGCACCCATGATGCTGCCATGGCTGAGCACCCGGGACAGGCCGTGGCCGTGACAGCAGCCCCGGGCTTGCATGGGCTCAGCCATGGTGATCCCGGGCTCCTCTCCTGTTGGCTCGGAGGCTGAGCGCGCCCCTAGCAGTACTCTGGCTGTGAGCTGGGTTTGGAGGAGATGACGGGCTGGTCCCACGGCAGGGCTGGGGATCCCAGCTGTGTGCAGGAGGAAGTGCAAGCTAGTGGTTAGAGCGGGTGTGGCTGGGAGACTGGACTCCTGGGTCCTCTTCTGAGCTGTGGTAATGGGCCTGACTTGACCCCAGTCCCACCCCCAGCTCAGCCCAGCCTTGCTTTGTCATTGCTGGGCCAGCCCTGCCCCTGCCCATGCCCTGTGCCTCATTTCCCCCAATCTGCAGCATTGAATCCATGTGCCTGCAGCACTGTAAAGCCCCGTGGGGCCAGCCCAGGGCAGGAGACCACAGCAGGGGCTGGCTGGATCGTCTTCCACGTGTCCCTGGAGGGAGCTGCTGGCCCCCAGGCGCCCCGTGGGATCCCCTGAATCCAGGAGCTGGAGCTTTGCAAAACCCTCCTGCTGTGGCTGCAGGAGGGGCCTTGATCCTGGTGCATCTCTCAGCCCCCCATCCCTGTCTGCCCAGCCCTCTGCAGCTGCCATGGGGCCCCAGCACACTGGGCACTGCACAGATGTAGTGCCAGATGCCGGGATTTGCCAAGGGAGCCAGCGGAAGGGCTGGGACCTGAGCCTGCAACCACTGAGTCCCAGCTCCATGCTTTAGCTAGGAGGTTAGACACCCTCTGGTTGCCCCCACAGAATTGCCGCCATCCAGGGGAATTGCCCCACAGATGTATTGCCTCCAAGCCCCATCCCAAGGAGCTGGCGATGGTGGGGGGCTGATCTGGGGGTCTCCTGAGAGCTGGGTCCACACTCGGCCCATCTGGGGGACTGGGTTGGGGGTGGATCAGAGACTCAGAGCCCCCGTGACTCTCCCCCTCTGTTTCTCTCCCGCAGGATGTGCATTTCTGACCTACTGCGCCCGCGAGTCAGCCCTCAAGGCACAGAGCGCGCTGCATGAGCAGAAAACCCTACCGGGGGTGAGTCCCGCTGGGCACGGGCATGGGGGGCTTCAGGGCGGGAGGATGCCTTCCTTGACAGCTCTAGCTCCTCTGGGCCTGCAAGGGTCTGTTCCCTACTGCTCTGGGCCTGGCTCAGCCAGTGCCAGGCTCTAACCCAGGCAGAAGAAGTCAGTGCTTGGGGTTGTGCCCAGCCAGGGGGACTCATCCCCAGAGCCAGCACTCCCCCCAGTGCCAGCAGGGACAGACGGGGCATGTGGGCATGCAGCTGGGCTGGTAGCTGCAGCCATCTGGGCCTGGCGCTGCACCCTGATGCCATGTTTGGGCAGTGGTGGCCCCTTGAGAGGGGATTGGTTAATTCGGGGTGCCCCGTCCAGCCAGGGCTGGGAACAGCAGTTGGGCAGGCTGGTGGGAGTGCCCGGTGGTACCGATGATAGCCTGAGCCGGGCATCAGGCTCTGTCCGGTGGGGAGTTTGCTGCCGATGGGAGCCATGTCCACATGGGAGCATGATTGGCAGCTAAAGCCACACCCAGGGCAGCAACTCTGGCACATACATGTATTCCCAGGATATGTTCACATGTGTGTGCATGTGCCTGGGATCCATGCACTTGCTTATCTGTGCGTGCGAGGGGCTCTGCAAAGATCTGTGCTCTGTATATGTGCAGGTGTGCAGCCAGCAACTGCATGGGCCCACGTGTGCTGAGGGCGCACGAGGCTCTGTGTGCACATGAGTGTGCTGGGGCATAGGAGGGCATAACGATGGGGGCGCAGCTCACATGTGCATGGGAGTGAGAGTGGCTGCATCTGTGGGGCTTTGTCAGTGCCCACCGGGGTGGGCAGGGACCCATGTGTGCATGCATGTGTGTGCACATGCACCAGTGGCCTCTCTGGGACCCGTGTGTGTCAGTCTGTGCCCAAGCAAACTCTGGCTGCTTGTGAGGGGGTGGGGAGCTGCGTGTGCCTCTGGAAGCCAGGCATGCCAGAGGGCTGGGGCTAAGGGGCACATGCTGGGCCTGTGTTCCTGTGAGCACCCACTGTGCCCTCCCTGCCATGGCCTCCCACGTGGAAGGGATTGGAAGGGGCGGAAGCCAGAGCCTGACCTCACCAGTTCCCTCCCAGGGGCCAATGGCCTCCCTCCTGGGGGCCTTCACTGGGGCCCTCCTCCTCCTCCTCCTCCTCCTCCTCCTCCCTGGGAGCCGCCTCCAGGGAGAGCTCTGGCCTGGAGCAGCCTGCATGGACTCGGACTGACTGAGATCCCTGGGCTGACCCGTGCCAGGGTCCTACCAGCTGTCTTGGGACCATCACCTCCCAGGCAGGGGGCGACTGGGGCATACGAGGGTCAGGGGGCTGCACCCAACTCCCCAGCCCCAACTAAATAAGACCCCCCCGCCATGCCTGAGCCACTGTGGGGGCTGCATGGGGAGGGGGCAAAGCTCAGGGGATGGGGGACTGTTGCCTTGGGCATCTCCCACAGAGACGCCAACTACCCTGGTGGGGCAGGATGAGCCCCCCCCTGCTTCGTCCCAGCTGGAGAAGGGCCGGGTCTGTATCCTCCGCCCCACCCCACACCTTGCTTTTCCCCCTTCCCAAATATAGAAACCATGAGTCGGGGGCAGCTCCTGTGTCCCTCGTGCCCACCTCGCGTTGCAGACGCAGCTGTCTTGTGCTGGGCTTTATCCTGGGAGGTTTCCCTGGCCAAGGGCTCCAGCTCTGTCCTTGCTCTTCCCTCCTGTTTCTACCACCCGCTTTGCTCCCCCGGCCCTTTCTTTGCCTGCTTGAGGCCTGTGCAGCACCTGGGGTGGGAGCGTGTGCACTTCCACACACGTGTCTGTGTGTGATTTGCACCAGGGTGTGTCTCTATCCCCACCCCGGCCCCACATCTCTGGAGCTTGGGTTGATCTGCATGCCCCACGGGGCCTGTAGGTGCCCAGCTACTTGTGTCACCCCTCTGCTCTGGTGTGACGTGAACATGAGAGTGACACGCCAGCATCCGTATGCATGTGAAGGGCTGGGCTGGGAGGACAGCATGCATGTGCGGACGTGCTTGTAGCATGCATCTGTGCCAGTGTGAGGCTGTTTCTGGTTGCCTCGTTTCACACACATTTGCCACACACATTTGGTGTGCAAAGGATCACCAGAGCTCTTTTCTCTGGGTTTGAAGCATGTGGTTGTGTGTGCACACCTGTGCGTGGTGTTTGCTTGTATGGATGTAAGTGTGTGTGTGTGTGTGCGCGCCTGTGTATGTGTTCAGCTTGTCTAGAGGTCTCTCTGTGTGTGATGTGCATGTCTGTAGCTACGCTGTGTTGTGTGTGTGTTGTTTTCAGTGTGTGTGTGTTGTGTTCTCAGTGTATATGTGTTCACACATGCCTATATATGTTTTTAGCTTGTTTAGATGTCTGCACATTGTGTGTCTGTACCTACATTATGTTGTGTTTGTGTATGTTCAGTTGTGTCGTGTTTTAGTGTCTGTGTGTCTCGGTGGGTGAGTGTACGTGTGCATGTTCTACGCACGCCTGTGTCTACTTCCAGATCCGTGGGCACATCCTTTTCGTGTCTGTGCGTGTTTTTAGTGTGTGTTTCTCCATGAGTTACCACGTGGCTCTGCCTGTGGGGGTGTGTATTAATTTGAGCTCCTCCTGACACCTCCATCATAGCCCCTGGCCCCGATGTCACGCAGGCTGATGCTCCCTGCAGAGGCTGGGCCCAGCCGTGGTGGCACTGGAGACGTGCAGCTCCATGCACCCAGCTCGGGGCTCCCCGCCCTGGCTCCAAATCCCAGGTTTTGTCCATGTGCCCCTGGCTCAGGGCATCATGCACCAGGCTCTGGTTCCCCAGGCTGGGCTAGAGACCCTGGCCTGGACTCCAGCCCCTGAGCTGGGGGCAGGGGACGGTGCCCGGGCACTGAGGGGCTGCCCGTGCCCCCTCGAACGACCTGGCTGCAGCTGCATCACGGAGGCCACCAGTGAGACCCCGACAGCCGTGTTAGGAAGTTAATTACCAAGGGAGGCAGCTCCCACAGGCCATGCCCAGGGCCTCGGCTGGGAACCCAGGCATCCTGCCTCTCACTACCGAGACCCACTCCCTTCCCGGAGCGGGGATAGAGCCCAGCAGTCCTGGCTCCCAGCCCAGCTTCCCTGCTCAAAGCACTGGGCCCTGCTGCCCGCCTCACCCCGCTCAGCCGGGAACCCAGGAGTCCAGGCGCCACTCTGCCTCCCACATAACCACTAGGCTGCTGTGTGCCAGACTTTGCCCTAGTAAAAGACTGCATGTGTGCATGCGTGTGTGCATGCATGCGTGTGTGTGTTCTGATATGTATGCGTGCACATATGTGGGTGCATGCATGAATATGTATGTGTGCAATGTACACGTGTATGTGCCTCTGTGTGCATGCATGTGCATGCATGTGTGCACATGCATGTGTATGTATGTGCCTCTGTGTGTGCATGTGTGTGCACATGTGCATGTGTATGTGCCTCTGTGTGCCTGTGTATGTATGTGTGCACGTGCACATGTATGTATGTCTCTGTGTGTACATGTGTGTGTGCGCATGTACATGTGTATGTGTGCCTCTGTGTGTGCCTGTATGAGTGTGCACACGCACATGCATGTATGTGTCTCTGTGTGCATGTGTGTGTCTGTGCATGTGCACATGTATGTATGTGCCTGTGTGTGCACATACACGTGTGTGTGTGCAGGTCTGTGCATATGTGTGCATGTGTCTGTGTGTGTGTGTGTGTGTGTGTGTATGTGTGTGTGTGTGTATATGTGTGTGCATGTGCATTGCGCCAGGCACTGTGACAAGCAGGTGTCCCCGTGGATTTTCAGGGCTCCCCTCCCCCAGCCTCGCTCTCCCTTTTCCTCTGCCCTTTGCCCAGCAGCTGGTGTGGGGAACATGGTGGTGCCAGGGCAGGTGGCAGGTGTTGGCAAGGGGCTGCACCTGCCTGGGGGGGAGGGAAAAGGAGGGGCGCTGAGTGCTTGATGTCTGTAGTTTTACTGAGATTTGTACCTGTGAGCCCCCGCCACCCTCGAGACCACCCCCCCGTGCCCCCTCCCAGGGAGCCTGGTGTCAGCGCTCCCTGCTGCAAGTCCCCAGCTTTGTTGGCTCAGCCGCCCCATGTGGACACACACAGCTTCACATGGAGACTGCTGGGTCACACATGTAGCTGATTGCACACGTGTGTTCGTGTGTGTGTGTGTGTGTGTGTGTGCATGCATGTATATAAGGAGATGTGAGTGCAAGGGACTTCTTTGCACATATGTGTTTGCACCCCAGTAGAGGCTCACACACATGGCTCATGACACACTCATCCATGCATGTGTGTCTTTGTGTGTGTGTGTATGTGTGCAAGAGTATGCAAGCACAAGAGATCCTGTGTGCACATGTGTGTTTGCACCCTAGTAGAGGGCCATACACGTGGCTGGCTGCACACACTTATCTGTGCATGTGTGTGTGTGTGTGCACAAGTGCGCATGCATTTGTGTGTGTGTACAAGCATATGCAAACACGAGAGATCTTGTGTGCATGTGTATGTTTGCACCCTAGTAGAGGGCCACACACAGGGCTGGCTGCACACACATATCCATGTGTATGTGTGTTTGTGCACGCACATGCAAGCATATGCAAGTACAAGAGATCTTGTGTGCATGTGTGTGTTTGCCCCCCAGTAGAGGTGAATTCACTCACGGGTGCAAGGCATGTGCATGTCCATAGCTGGACTCTGAGCACACATGCACAAGAAGCACATCTCTCTGTAGGAGCATGTTTGTGGGTGTCTGCTTACTGGCGTGTGTAAGAGAACACGTGTGCATGTGCAGGAGCACAGGCATGCACTTGGTTTGCTTTGCCCCATGGTGCCCCAGGCAATGTGTGCATTGGCCCGTGCTCCTGGCAGACGTGAGAGCTGGCAGGCACACACGTGCTTTTCCACATGCGTGTGCAGCTGCCTGTCCCTGCCTGTTGCAGGGCTCCACTGCTCTCTGGACCCGCTGCCTGTCCCCATCAACCTGACCCCTCCTATCGGGGGCAGCTGCTGCGGCTGGCTCTGGGGTGGACCACGCATCCCGCCGGCTGCGTCTAGGGGTGGGGGAGCACCTTATCCCCCATCACCCTGATCCACCCCCCAACAGCCTCTGCAGGGCTTGGAGCAGGGCCGATCTGGCAGGTACCCATCGGCAGGGCCTGGCAGGCTGGAGGCTGGCAGCGTCTGCCCGGCTGGGTTAAAAATAGCCCCCAGCAGTGCCGGGAGGCCGTCACCTGGCAGCCTGGTCGCTGGGTAACCAGCAGGCGGGCAGGCCTCAGTGCCAGGTGCGCTGGGGCGGGGGCGGCTGAGCCAACAAAGCTGGGGGCTTGCAGTGGGAAGCGCCCAGGCTCCCCGGAGGGTGGGAGGTGCAGGGGGTGGGGGGTCTGCAGAGGGCCTCTGAGCTGGAAAAAGAGCCCAGGCGATCTGCGCCCCTGGCCCTGCGCCTTGCTCTCGCCCACCTTGCGGAGCTGGAAAAGGAGCACCGGTGCACGGGCTCCCAGCCCCTCCCTTGTTCAAGATCCCTCTCCCCTCCTGCAGCTGGGGAAGGAGCCCAGGCATCCCTTGTCCCAACC